AAAAGTTGGAGTTCGTCTTGTTTATTTCCCATGCTCTGTGCATTAGTGTAAAGACATGTGAGCCCCTGAGATATTCCCTTGATCTGTTTAATTGGGATTATTGTGCTTTTGGTACTTGGTCCTTGGGCTGAGAAAGGCCATATATAAATATGATAAATAAATAAATGAATAAACAAATATGGAGGGGAACACTTTCCTTATCTATGAAGCTATTTGGCTTCTTGATCACTTTCTGGATAAAATTCTCACTGGCATCAATGTAAATAACATATATTGCATCATGTGGGAGAGGGGGATGCTGGCAAAATCTGGAAAATTGCATTTTTGGATTACAACTCTGGCAGAAGTTGTCCATACAGTCATGGTGGAGGATTTCTAGAGAGGTGTTTAGGTTTCAAAATAGTGTTTTTATTAATGTTTTCCCACCTTTTTGTGAGAGTGTCCCAGGGGAGGCCCTTCTCTTGCTCCCACCCCTGTCACAAGCACGGTTGGTAGGGATGAGAGAGAGGGCCTTCTCAGTGGTTTGGGAACTCCCTCCCCAAGGAGATTAGACTAACACCCACTCTGTCCATCTTCCGCAAAGATCTAAAGACATGGATGTTGCACTATGCTTTTGGCTCTGATTACTGGGCCCCCAGCTAGGACCCAAAAAATCTTGTCCTCGCACTTTACTATTGTTCTGTATCCAAAGTTATAATGGCTCTATCTTACATTGTACAAAAATAAAGTTATTATAATTATTATCTCTGACACTGACAAAAGTGGAGGTCCTGCTGTAACTTCTCTTATATATACCATGGATTATTTATTTATTTATTTATACCCCACCTTTCTCTACCCCAAGGTGGACTCAAGGCAGCTTACATATGGCAATTATTCAATGCCTTAAACACATACAACATTAAGTTTAGATTTGACTAGATGGCCTTTGCAATCCATTCCATGTTGTAATTTGGCTATTGAACTATGGGTGCTGTAGTTCATGTTTGTGCAAAGGGAGTTCCACAAGTATAACCATTTCACATGAAGTTGTATAGTCTTGGATGGTGCATAACAGGTTTTGGGAATTGTGGGAGCTAAAGTCCAAAACACCTGGAGGCCCAAAGGTTGGGAACCACTGGTGTAGTGTGAAAGGCCTTGGACCACAATTTTTGAATTGCTATATGGCTTAATCTGCACCCCAAAAGTGGGTCTGCTTTCATTAAAGATCCTAGTGCTAAGATTGGAGTTGGACCTTATTTTATCTCATTAAGAAATTAAAGCCAACATGGTGCAGTGGTTCGAGTGTTGGATTGGAGCTCTTCCTCACTTAGCCATGCAAGCCCACCATGTGATCTTGAGTAAGTCCCCTTCCATACTGCTCTATATCCCAGGATCTCATCCCAGATTATCTAGCAGTATAGACTCATATAATCCAGTTTAAAACAGATAATCTAGGATCAGATCCTGGGATATAGGGCAGTGTAGATCCAGTCTGAGCCCCAGAAGAAAGCAATGAACATATCTTGTCGAGAAAACTCTGTGACCTTAGGATAGCCTTACATTGGAAATGGCTTGAGGGCACATTACAACGACAATAAACATATCACGAGATATTCATTCCGGAGGGGTTTTTTTTTTCTTTTGTCCACTCTGTCCCAGTTCCAAAGCATGTATTTATCTTGCCTGAATTCCAGTGCTCAGTTTAAATGATACACACGGAGAAAGGAAATGAGTATTTTGCAATCCCATCCCAATCTGGCTGGGAAATGCTCACGCCATCTGCCATCTTAGATGTAAGCAACATAAATAAACTTCTCGCGTCTTCGTTTTTTCAAGCATGAACTCTACCAGCGGTTGTCGCACTCCTCAATCAACCTGCCAAATGCACAATGTTTTTACAAACAACAATAAATGTGTGTCATATTTTACAACCCCCTGTTGTGCTAAGAGCCCTACCAGATGTTGCCGGAGATACAGAAAGACTGGCAAGTGTCCCAGTCCATAAACTTTCAGGCAACAGAAACAAGGCCCAACTGGAATTGGCAAAGGGTTAAATGGCATGCCATGTTGGTGTGTAGTTGGAAGTTACATACTTTCTTTTTTTTCACTTATGAGTTAGTCGGGTTGGTATCTAGATCAGCAATACTGTAGATGGAAGAAATCTAAAACTATTTTCTAGGCGCCCATTTCCAAAAAAATGAAATTATGCACCATGCAAAAAAATTAAAAGTACATGATGCCAGTGCAAAAAGGTGATTTAGTCGGTTTTCTGGCTTCCAGATACAGAGTGATAAATTTAGATGAGGAAATGGGTGGGGAGAGTTAAAGAACACCTAGCCATGCACAAAAGGCTTGCTTCAGGTGTGTATCCATACACACACTTATAGCCATTTGATAGTTACTGTTATTATTATATTTATTTTTACCTCAACGTTTTCCACGTTTATAACTCAGCGCAATAGCTAAAATTCACAACACACAAAAGTTAAAAATGTACGCCGGAATCCACACAACCAAATTGGAGTGTATCTACACTACAGAATTAATACAGTTTGACCCCACTTTAACTGCCATGACTCAATACTACAGAATTCTAGAAGCTGTAGTTTTACAAGGCCTTTAGCCTTCTCTGCCCAAAAGTTCTAGTGGCTCACCAAACTACATATCCTAAGATTCCAGTCCTTTGAGGCATAGCAATTACAATGGTGTCAAACCAATCATTTTTACAATTTTTACTAGAACTTCCACTGTTTTTAGCCAATATGACCAATGCTTGGGAGATTCTTGGAGTGTCAGTCCAAAAAGTATTTTTCCCAGGCTCTCTCCAATCCAGGTACGGATTAGATTTAAAAACTTAAAGCTTAAAAAGAATGGATGCATTGTGTCCCTTCCAGCCATGTATAGAGTATAGTGCATATATTTGCAATGTTCATATGTGGAGAACCCATCTTAGCTTACATGTCTTGATTCCTTCATGGATATCTTTCAGATAAGCCTGTGTTTTTCCAATTCATTGACTGGATCCTGCGTGGAGTGTCTCAGGTGATGTTTGTCAGCAATCCACTCAGTGGCCTGATCATGTTGGCTGGGTTTCTGGTCCAGAGCCCTTGGATAGCCCTCACATGTTGCATTGGTGTCATCGTCTCAACATTAACAGCACTTATTCTGTGCCAAGAAAGGTAGGTATGACCTTCACTTGAGTTTCTTTGACCCTTCTCTTCTTTAACAAGCTCAACAGAACCTATGAAAAAGGCAAGGAACGATGTTGTCAATCTCAGCAAGGGTGTTTTCTAGTTGCTTGTCCACTTATGGTGACCCCATGAACTTCATAGGATTTTCTTTGATCAGTGGTTCTTAACCTGTGGGTCCCCAGATGTTTTGGCCTTCAACTTCCAGAAATCCTAACAGCTGGTCAACTGGCTGAGTTTTCTGGGAGTTGTAGGCCAAAACACCTGGGAGCCCACAGGTTGAGAAGCACTGTCCTAACCTAGAGATTGGTTTTGCCTATGAAATGTAGCCTACTGTACCTGACTCTTCTTAGCTTCCAGAATCAGATGGGATCTGGTGCCTTTAGGAGATTTAGTTCTTCCATTGGAGACCAATGCAGTCAATGCCCCCCCCCCATGCAGTCAATGGGGTCCCCCCACATGAGGTTCAATAATAATGTTTTCATTGGGACTAACCAGTCAAGATACTATTGCACTGGCCAACACACATTTTGGTGCCTCAAATATTATACCTCTTTCTGGGTATATTTGATCTGCTAATTCCAAAAATGGTACTAGTTTTCCCCTATCAGCTCTAGTTTTTGAGATACAGAACATATGACATATACCAGTCTTCAGTTGCTCACCCATAACCAATAATGATAACCATACCTAAGAAACTAGAACTGAGGTGGTCTACCTTATGGAATTTTTTGAATCCATGCCCTAAATAACCCCAGGAACAGGCCTTAAAATCTGAATATTAGACCTCTTTCTGGATATATCTGACTTGCTGATTCCAAACATGGCACCAGTTTTCCCCTATCAGCTCTAGTTTTTGAGATACAGAACTTATGATATATACCAGTCTTCGGTTGCTTGCCCATAGACCAGTGGTTCTCAACCTGTGGGTCCCAAGGTGTTTTGGCCTACAACTCAGTTTACCAACTGTTAGGATTTCTGGGAGTTGAAGGCCAAAACATCTGGGGACCCATAGGTTGAGGACCACTGCCATAGACAATAATGATAACCATATCTAAGAAACTAGAACTAAGGTGGTCTACCCAATGCAATTTTCTGAATCAATGCCTCCAAATAACCCCAGAAAGAGGCCTAAAAACCAAGACACTAAGAAAAAAGCTGTGCCATCAGTTAAAGATGGAGAGAATGTATTGCAATAATAGAATTATTTTAAGTTCTGAAACTCTGTTGGGGGGGGGGGGAGGCTAAAAGTAAAATACAAAACGAATAGCTTTTTTTTTGTCGTGTCAGGAGCGACTGCAAGTCGATCCTGGTGTGAGAGAATTGGCCGTCTGCAAGGACATTGCCCAGGGGATGCCTGGATGATTTGATGTTTTTATCATCCTTGTGGGAGGCTTCTCTCATGTCCCCACATGAGGAGCTGGAGTTAATAGAGGGAGCTCATCCACCTCTCCCCGGATTCGAACCTGCGACCTGTCGGTCTTCAGTCCTGCCGGCACAGGGGTTTAACAAATAGCTGTTGTCATGTCATTATAGCATAGAATCATCCCAGATGTATTCATTTCAATAGTTCATCAGAACCAACTGGAGGACAGCATGTTCTTGAACATAAAAGAGGTTGTTTTTCGATAAAGGCATCTGAAAATACCTGCTGACCTCCTTCCTAAAACTTTGTAAGATTTATTTTCTGTAAGGCACTTTATCTTTGTGGGGGAAATGTAGGTAGGAGCCAAGGAAAAATCAACAAAACTTTTTCAACAGCTTACAGGGCTGCCAAAACAAGCCAAGCACTTGCAATGAATCAAACCACATTCCTTAATTAGAAAAGCATCCAAGTAATGTGAAATGTAATATAAAATAGATTTGTTATATATCATAATCATTTCAAAACAAAATTATAAGAGAATGGTTGGTAATAAATAAAGTCTCTAAGTATTACAAAAGTAACATCCCACTCTTATGCCAGCATTCCTTGGCCAGACAGTTTCATTTCTTAACTATCAGAAAACCATAAGATGTTAAGCATTTTGGGTTTTTCTCATCCTGATGCAGGTCAGCTATTGCGGCAGGACTCTATGGCTACAATGGGGTCTTGGTTGGGATGTTAATGGCTGTATTCTCAGACAACGGTGAATACTATTGGTGGCTTTTGCTTCCTGTGGCCCTTGTGTCCATGACATGGTGAGTCCCGCAGTCTTGAACTTTTAATGTATTACCTTTCTCCAAATATTGTAGAATGAGGAAAAAATAAAACACTGTATAATACACAAAGGGGAGAACCCATTAAATAGATAACACTATTAAATTAATTGAAAATATTTTGAAATATGTACAAAATGTAAGGATTCAATGTCAAATATACTTCATTCAATAGCATCTTCTCTAGAGTTCCAGACAGGGTTCTTTGCTAGTTTTTGCTGGAGATGGTTGATAGTCCATGATGATGTCCTCACTAAGGATTAATAAGGTCCCAGCCTGTTCAGCCTCCAAAATCAGTGGTTTGCATGAATCTTGCACCCCTTTGTAATGATGCCACCAGTTGAAGGGACGTTACCAATTTGTCAGGGTCTCCTACAACTTGTAATGAATCTACAAAATCGATAACACAGCCACTAGCCTGTAGCATGTTGTTTATCTTCCTTTGAAGTGTAGCACGGCTTGACTCGAAAGTATACGAAACAGAGACTAGGATTTAAGAGAAAATGTAATAAGTTTATTGAAGTATAGAAGCTTAATGGTTTCAATGTTTCTTAACTCCTAGAGGTACATTCCTTTAGTTGTTACATTTATAACCTTCCATAAAACAACTCTTAAGAGGACTGTTCTTTCCACTAGACAGGTTTTAAACTTATTTCCTTCAAAATGTGTTTCTTTCCTTAACAGATCACTCCAGGTACTAGCCTATTCTTTCCCTCTGTTATCTCTGTTACAGTAAAGATTCTTACTGGGGTTCTCTTCCCCTTTTTGCTCAAACCCTAACTACTAATCTAAATAAGTCAACTTGACCTATCTGAACCACACAGGCTAAAAGCCTAAACCTTCCTGATTCTCAACACAGTAGAGCCAGCTTTCCCTGCAGTTCTCTGATCACAGACTGCCTATTTAAAATGTCTGCTCTTGCCAAGTGGCAGTTGGCACCTCCCCTTTTTCCATGGCAACCCATCTCAAAGTGAGCTGAGCTGGCTACCATCCCCCTAGTTATGCTAGTTTAAATGCTTACCCCTTTAAACACCTACCTATAATTATACATGACTGTAGGTTAAAATTCACACTTCACCACACCCTTGTTATCTTCTCTTCTGTAAAGAAGAGAAACATCTGAGGAAACATCTACTCTTCCCACTTAATGGGGACTGAATGCATCTCAAAAATGTGATACTTTAATGACACACAACACAAATTGACATAGGAACGCCTTAAAAAGGGATGAGCAAAATACTCCAAAATAGGGTCCATAATGTACATCAGTGCATGTTGGTATAGCCACATTATAAGGCAAAACCAGTTAAGGGATGGGAGCTTTGGTGATCCACTCATGTGCATTATGGAAGGGGGGTTGGGAAGAAAAACCCCAATTCTCTATTGCAGTGGTTCTCAACCTGTGGGTCCCCAGATGTTTTGGCCTTCAGCTCCCAGAAATCCTAACAGCTGGTAAACTGGGTGGGGTTTCTGGGAGTTGTAGGCCAAAACACCTGGGGACCCTTTATGCCCTACTGCCATAAAGCCATGGATACTGGAGATCATGGAACCAGGTCTAAGCCAACTTCTCTGGTTAATATAAGTATTGCCTAATCCTCAGGAAAGTTCCTGAGCTTGACATGTGATGAGAGCCATGTTCAAATCGCTTCCTCCTCTGCCACTTTCATCCCACATTAAGTGGTAAGTGTGTACCCTAAGAGACAGTGATAGATATGCATCAACCATCAAGCTTCAAGGACAAGTAAGGATTTCAACTGATCTCCCATATCAATGTTGGACAGCTCCTTGGACGACAGAATCCAATTTCCTCCCCCTAATCCTACACCATGGGTGCATCTCCACTGTAGAATGAATGCAATCTGACTCCACTTCAACTGTTCAGGCTCAATGCTATGGCAGCTTGGGATTTGTAGTTTGTTGAGGCACCAAAACTCTTGGAGACCCTAGTGGCGCAGTGGATTAAACACCTGTGCCGGCAGGACTGAAGACCGACAGTTCGCAGGTTCGAATCCGGGGAGAGCGTGGATGAGTTCCCTCTATCAGCTCCAGCTCCTCATGCAGGGACATGAGAGAAGCCTCCCACAAGGATGGTAAAAACATCAAACCATCCAGGCATCCCCTGGACAATGTCCTTGCAGACGGCCAATTCTCTCACACCAGAAGTGACTTGCAGTTTCTCAAGTCACTCCTGACACGACAAAAAAAAAACTCCAAATTTTTTTGGCAGGAAAGGCCCAAAATCTGGTAAGATTTCAACTCCCAGGATTCCATAGCACCAAGACATCTCAGTTAACATGGGGTCAAATATTGACTCTACAATGTAGGTGCATCTCAGGTTGGTCATGTGGAATCTGACCTGCAAACTTCACTTTTCTATATTGAGAATTTTCTGGCCTTCTCTGCCAAGGAGTGCTGGTGTCTCACCATACTACAAATCCCAAGATTCTACAGTATTCAGCCTTGGCAGTTCAAGGGGTGTCAAACTAGACTAATTCTACACTGTAGATGCATCTCTAGCTACACACACACCACAAAAGAAACTAACTTCTTGAATACCAGCCAGCAGGAACACTGTATCATTTCGTTTCACCCTTTTAAGAAGGACCACAAGGAAAATAGAGCTATTTGGAGTAGTCAGGTATTGTCTGGTGCTTTGATGTGTTTTCACACATTTGGAGCATTTTTAACACAATTTTCAGACACGAATTGCTTGAAAATTTCATCAATTTTTAAAATAATGGGATGGGGGCTTTAGGGTTCTGGTGCAGCTGAAAAAATGGGGTCTACAATTTACATTTAGAATCATAGAATCACAGAGTTGGAAGAGACCTCGTGGGCCATCCAGTCCAACCCCATTTTGCCAAGAAGCAGGAAAATTGCATTCAAAGCACCCCGACAGATGGTCATCCAACCTCTGTTTAAAAGCCTCCAAAGAAGGAGCCACCACCACACTCCAAGGCAGAGAGTTCCATTGCTAAACAGCTCTTACAGTCAGGAAGTTCTTCCTAATCTTCAGATGGAATCTCCTTTCTTGTAGTTTGAAGCCATTGTTTCACCTCCTAGTCTCTAGGGCAGCAGAAAACAAGCTTGCTCCCTCCTCCCTATGACTTCCTCTCATGTATTTATACATGGTTATCATGTCTCCTCTTAGCCTTCTCTTCTGCAGGCTAAACGTGCCCAGCTCTTTAAGCTGCTCCTCATAGGGCTTGTTCTCCAGACCCTTGATCCTTTGAGTTGCCCTCCTCTGGATACATTCCAACTTGTCAATATCTCTCTTGAATTGTGGTGCCCAGAACTGGACACAATATTCCAGATGTGGTCTAACCAAGACAGAATAGAGGGGGAGCATGACTTCCCTGGATCTAGACACTAGACTCATATTGATGCAGGCCAAAATCCCATTGCCCTTTTTTGCTGCCACATCACATTGTTGGCTCATGTTTAACTTGTTGTCCACAAGGACTCCAAGATCTTTTTCACACGTCCTGTTCTCAAGCCAAGCGTCCCCCATTCTGTATCTTTGCATTTTGTTTTTTCTGCCTAAGTTGACCCACAAAACCCCTTTTGATGTGTGTGCTATGCCACACCACACCTGCTTAAACAGCTAAGCATTCTCTCTTTCCTTGTTTTCTTTTCCTGTAAGATTATTTGCATTGACGTGGTTCTGCAAAGGGCTTTGAACTTGTTTGCTTTCTCTTCGTTTTAAATCTGTATATATGTGTTTTGTTTTCTCCTGACAATGCACGCATGAAAAGTCACGTCGAAACACATTTACAACATGATGTTTGTTTTACCACGGGTTATGTGCGCTACTGTAATGATCATTCTTCATTATGATAAATGAGAGGTGTAATCACCATGCCAAAAATAAAATAAAATGTTATATGGATCTCCTAAGACCATAAATGTGCTCTCTTTTGGCCCGATGGCTAGTGTTTCTTCAGCTTCAACAACCATCCCTTTGTTATCACTTTCTTTTGCCTTTCTTTATAAAGAAACTATGGTTTCAAGGTCTTCCTTGGAGTTTTCTCAAAATTAAAGGATTGTGCACAAATTGAATCTGATCAAAGTTTGGAAATAATTGTTGTTGTTCATTCGTTCAGTCGTCTCCGACTCTTCGTGACCTCATGGACCAGCCCACGCCAGAGCTCCCTGTCAGCCGTCACCACCCCCAGCTCCTTCAGGGTCAGTTCAGTCACTTCAAGGATGCCATCCATCCATCTTGCCCTTGGTCGGCCCCTCTTCCTTTTACCTTCCACTTTCCCCAGCATAATTGTCTTCTCTAGGCTTTGCTGTCTCCTCATGATGTGGCCAAAGGACTTCAGCTTTGTCTCTAGTATCCTTCCCTCCAGTGAACTGTCGGGCTTTATTTCCTGGAGGATGGACTGGTTGGATCTTCTCGCGGTCCAAGGCACTCTCAGAACTTTCCTCCAACACCACAGCTCAAAAGCATCGATCTTCCTTCGCTCAGCCTTCCCTAAGGTCCAGCTCTCACATCCGTAGGTGACTACAGGGAATACCAAGGCTTTGACTAGGCGGATCTTTGTTGCCAGTCTGATGTCTCTACTCTTTACTATTTTATCGAGATTGGACATTGCTCTCCTCCCAAGAAGGAAGCGTCTTCTGATTTCCTGGCCACACTCTGCATCTGCACTAATCTTTGCACCTAGAAATACAAATAATACATTGTAGTAATTATCATTGCTTGCAAGAAATTACTAGAATGGGAAAAGATGTCAAGTTTTTGAAACATGCAATCGGAAGCTGCAACCATACTGTGGTGTTATGTTTTTGTGAGTTGACTTACACCTGAGGAAATAAGAATGGTAATATCCATATCGAGTAGAGGTGTTACTTTACTATATAGCAAAGCCAGTAAAGTAACTGAGACTCAATGGGACCAATGCCCAATGGGACCATTACAGAATGGGACTTGTATCACATTGGACACAATGCAATGCACATAAGTCCTATGCATACCACATTGGCCCTATTCCACATTTTAAAAAGGTTAACTGTGTTGACTGCTTTCAAGAGAACCTACAGTTGTTGTTTGAAGAGATTCATAGAATCAGAGAATCATAGAATAAAAGAATTGGAAGAGACCTCATGGGCCATCCAGTCCAACCCCCTGCCAAGAAGCTGGAATATTGCATTCAAATCACCCCTGACAGATGGCCATCCTGTCTCTGTTTAAAAGCTTCCAAAGAAGGAGCCTCCACCACACTCCGGGGCAGAGAGTTCCACTGCTGAACGGCTCTCACAGTCAGGAAGTTGTTCCTAATGTTCAGATGGAATCTCCTTTCTTGTAGTTTGAAGCCATTGTTCCATTGCATCCTAGTCTCCAAGGAAGCAGAAAACAAGCTTGCTCCCTCCTCCCTGTGGCTTCCTCTCACAATTCTGCTAGAAATCCCTTGACTTCTCACAAGAGCTACAGGAGCCAGAATTCCCCAGGATATTCCTGCTTCCTGGCAGGGGGTTGGACTGGATGGCCCATGAGGTCTCTTCCAACTCTTTGATTCTTTGATTCTATGATTCTAGGATTGGGAATGACAATTATGCAAGTCTGTGCATCTGGGAGTGATTAGAAGACATTTTGCTTAGCCATAACTTCTCTTCTTCTTTTCCAGCCCGCTTTTCACAAGCGCTTTGGCTTCTGTCTTCAGCAAATGGGACCTGCCAGTGTTCACTTTGCCTTTCAACTTGGCTCTGAGCCTCTTCATAGCTGCTGCTGGACACTACAACCTCTTCTTCCCCACAACACTCATCGAGCCTGTAAACTCAGTACCCAACATCACTTGGTCAGAGGTCCAGGTTTCTTTGGTAAGGCAATTTTAAACATATAGATATCTGAAACATGGGCAGTTAAGGTCAAGGATTTGGAACCAGTTGGAATTTCTGAACTTGGTACAGAGGTAGTCCAATATAAAGCTCATTGCAAAAGTACAACCTTGAGGTTGTGTGCACTACCATCTTTAGGTCCTCCAAATATAGGAAGAGGTGTGGTTGGCATATCAGCTGAAACCGATAGTAAGACCTCCTGACATTTAGAGAGACAGATCCAGGAGTATTCCCAAGCTGTGAACACAGTCTTTCAGGGGAAGTGGTGGATGACACACCTCCATTCCCAGACTAGGACCCTTGATGACAAGCACCTCTGTTTTGTCTGGATTCAGTTTCAGTTTGTTTGCCCTCATCCAACCCATTACCTCCTCCAGGCATTCATTCAGAGGAGACAAACTCTCTTTAGCTGAGGCTGTTTTGGAAGGCATGGAGAAATATATTTGGGTGTCATCAGCATACTGATAATACCAAGATCCATGCCTATGGATGATCCCTCTCAGAGGTTTCATGTAAATATTAAAAAGCATTGAGAATAGAATGATGGAGGTGATAAATTGGTAGCAGATCCAAGGAGAGGAGCAGTCGTTCCCAAACTTTGGTCTTCCGGGTGTTTTGGACCTCAGCTTCCAGAATTCCTGACCATTGGACAAGCTGGCTGGGGCTTCTGGGAGTTGAAGTGCAAAACAAGTATAGGACCAAAGTAGACAAGTAGACTACACAGAGAAGCCTTTAAAATCCACAAGCATGTGGACAATTTCAATAGAAAGGAGGAAACCATGAAAATGAACAAAATCTGGCTACCAGTATTAAAAAAAACTCTAAAATTAGAACAGCACAACAACAGAGAGGAAACAAACAAGGACATCTAATCACCTCTCAACAAAAGATTGCTCCAGGCACTGCCAGGCAATCAAATGCTAATCAAGGTGGTCAGTTGAAACGGTCACACCTAGCTCCAGCAGACAAGAGTCCTTTGTCCCACCCTGGTCATTCCACAGATATATAAACTCCTTTTTCCTAGTTCCAACAGACCTCACTACCTCTGAGGATGCTTGCCATGGATGCAGGTGAAACATCAGGAGAAATGCCTCTAGAACATGGCCATATAGCCCGAAAAAACCTACAACAACCCAGTGATTCCGGCCATGAAAGCCTTCGACAATACATAGGACCAAAGTTTGAAGATCATTGGGTGGAAAACTTTCCAAGAGCTTAAGTGCAACCTTCGTATATAACACGCATAATTAAAATGCATCCATATAAGAAAGCTTCTAAAACACAGTCAAAGATCTGGCTTTAAAAAGTTCCATTCACATACATAACCTAAATTGCACTCTGGCCCACAAAAATGGTGGTTGTTTGTTTTTCATGACAACTCCACAGCCATTCAGCACCACATTGTTGGAAATGTGCCTTCTAAATTTTATTGGGAATTTTATTGCCATCATACTGATGTATACAGTTGGAATTACCATGCATTATAACCATCTGGTTGGGCTTAATTGATGTTATAACACCTAAACGATCCTTCCAACACTGAATTGTGAATTTCAGAGACTTTGCTCTCTTGCCTGGAGAATTAAAAGGGGAAAAAAGGACAGGGCTACTGTGGAGGAAATGTGGGCAGCAACACTGGATGGCATCCCAGATCTATCTTGTTGGAGCTATTACAAGAGTTTGATTATCTGCTTGACCATGAAAATCCTGGTGAGGACATAGGATTGTATCATTATACCCTACATCCTTGCCTGAAGTCCTTGTGATGGTGGTGGGACCAAGAGAATGCCCTATCTTGAAGATCTTAAAATTTGGACAAGCTCATATGTAATATAATAACAATAACAACAACAACAACAACAACAACAACAACAACGGCTTACAAAGGGACAAGCCCAGAGAGCACAGAGTTCAAATGCAATGCAATAAAATAATAAGAAAAAAACCCAAATAGAAACATATCACAATAAAACATAACATCATGAAAACAGTACCATGGCAGTAATAAAAGTGCTGAGTTCAGAGGACTCTGAGTTTGTACAAAATTCCTAGATAGAGCTAAGGGAAAGTGCAAAATTCAGTGGCAGGGATGGGAGAGTACTGTCCTTGGGTTTTATAATGTCATGATTGTAGAGCAGAGGGCTTAGGTATTAAAGGGACAATTCTTTGGAATTGCCTAATCAAAGGCACAATGGAACATCCATGTTTTTATGTTCTTGTGGAAAGAGGACAGGGTAGGTGACAGTCTGATCTCCCTAGGAAGAGAGTTCCAGAGCTGGGGGCCACCACCAAGAAGGCCCTCTCCCTCGTCCCCACCAAACGCGCCTGAGACGGAGGCGAAAGCAAGAGGAGGGCCTCTCCGGATGATCTTAGAGCTCATGTTGCTTCATAGGGGAAGATGTGATCGCAAAGATAGGCAGGTCCCAAACCGTTTAAGGTTTTGCAGGTAATCACCTGCACCTTGATTTGGGACCGGAAACTTATTGGCAGCCAGTGGAGCTGTTTAAAAAGAGGGGTTGACCGCTCCCTGTAACTTCCTCCAGTTAGTAATCTGGCCACCAATCTTTGCACTAGTTGCAATTTCCAGGCCGTCTTCAAGGGCAGCCCCATTTATTTATTATTTATTTATTTCGGGCTTTTATATCCTGTCCTATCTCAACCTCCGCAGAGGGACTCAGAATGGCTAACAAATCGGCACCCCACGGTGCCCATATCAGAACATAAATATGCAATTTAACAGAAATATAATAACAGTATAAAACAGTATAAAACAGTATAAAAACAATAAAGCAGTCAGCAGTCACTGGTTTAAATCATCATCCAAGGGGCAGTCAAAGTATAGAGAGAGTTCTATAGAGTTTTATAGAGTTCATGTAGAGTGCATTGCAGTAATCCAATCCAGAGGTAACTAGGGCAAGGACCACCATGGCCAAGTTGAACTTCATGAGGTACGGGCGCAGCTGGTTCAAGAGCTTTAATTGAACAAAGGCCCTCCTGGCCACTGCTGACAGCTGAGCATCAAGTGTCAGAGAGGAATCGAGAAGAACCCCCAGACTGCGGACCTGTGTCCTCAGGGGGAGTGTAACCCCATGAGCACAGGTTGCTACCCTATACTCCGATCAGCTGAACGACTGACCTGGAGGACCTCTGTCTCGTCAGGATTCAGGTTCAGCTTGTTGGCCCTCATTTGGTCCATCACAGCAGACAGACACTGGTCAAGCATCATGGGGAATTCCTTGGAATTTGGTGGAAAGGAGTAGTAGAGTTGTGTGTCATCTGTGTAGAGATGGCACCAAACTCCAAAATGTATTCTTTGAGATGGTCTGGTCCCAAACCATGTAAGGCCTTATAAGTCATAATCAGCCCATTGAATTCTTCCTAAAAACACACTAGTAGAGTCAGCAAAGTGTAGTGGCTTAAGCATTGAACTAAGACTCAAGACCAGTGTTCAAATCCCTGCTCAGCCATGAAATCCTATGGAATGACCTTGTCACTGTCTCATAGCCTTGAGAAGGCAAGATCAAGCGTCTTCTGAATCAGTTGTACCAAGAAAATCCCATAATAGGTTCACCTTGAGGTTGTCATGTCAGAAAGGACTTGAAGGCACATCACAATGATGCCATTCCAAGGCTGTCCACTTCCATTATTTCTTTTTCTTCAAATACTTCAAATCCAGCTATAAGAAGGGGACTAAATGCCACCTAATGCCCACCCATCATGCACCCTATCTATTCCTTTATGCTCCACCAGAGGGACCAATGTGCTATGGGAGAACATGGGAGAAGGCCCACTCTAGTGTCCTATAGAATGGGCCTTGAGCATCCACAGGTTTTGATATCTCCAAAACCAAAGCCGACTGTATAATAATAATAATAATAATAATAATAATAATAATAATAATAATAATAATAACACTTTATTTGTAGCCTGCTACCATCTCCCCAAGGGACTCGGTGCGGCTTACATGAGGCCGAGCCCAAACACAACAATACAAGCAATAATAACACAGTACAAGCAATTAAAAACACATAGACAATAAGATACACAGCATTATCAATAATGTTGTGTATTTTATTGTATAGTAAAAATCCATTGTACATAACGAGAAGGGTGTTTATAATTCTGGTTTTTAAATCTCCTTCCATTCCAGTTACCATTTTAAAGCTGCCTCTTTGTCTTGAATGCAAGCAATGCAAACTCAAGATATGATAAACAACACTTATGTGTCCAACCTGGGCACAGCATATTATTTGAGAATACAGAAATACTGAACCAATCTAACAACTATCATGTCAGATTACACAGAAAAGCCACTGAAATCCACAAGCATGTGGACAATTTTAACAGAAAGGAGGAAACCATGAAAATGAACAAAATCTGGCTACCAGTATTTAAAAAAATTAAAATCATAACAGTAAAAACAGGGAACCTCCAGACAAGAAACTATCAGGGACAGCTAATCACCTCTCAACAAAGAATTCTCCCAGGCAGTAAGAAGCCAGACCTTGAAAACTGCTAGGCAATTAATCAAGGTGGCCAATTGAAACATTCACATCTACCTCCAACAGACTAGAGTTCTTTCTTCTACCTTGGACATTCCAGCGATATATAAACTCCATTTTCCTAGTTTTCACCAGACCTCACAACCTCTGAGGATGCCTGACATAGATGCAGGTGAAACATCAGGAGAGAATGCTTCTGGAACATGGCCATATAGCCCAAAAAACTTTCAGCAACCTAGTGATTCCAGCCATGAAAGCCTTTGACAATACAACACTTATTTTGTGGCTATTTTTGTGGAAATAGCAGCCGTAGGAGCTAGTTTCACCATCACATTATTTTTCTTCCTTTAGCTTTCTCCATGGCTTGCCCAGATAGCAGTCCCGAAATATCTAGAATATGCAAGGAATGTACTTTTAAGACCCAAATTCTCATAAAACAGGCTCTACGCTGTTGACGTGACTGCTGCCATGCCCCTTGTGCTCAGCGGAAAATTACATCTTAGACCTTGAGCTGTAAGTCGGTTTTAGAATTAAGACCAGGCATCTCCCAGTTTCCACAGGGAGCGGTATTTATGTGAGATTAATGGGTTATTAGAAATATTTTTTATTCTTATCTCCGCAAGAGACTTCAAAAGTGAATGCCAGCGTCCTTTGGAAGAACGTTCCCCAGGGACTTAGCCAAAAGCGGTAATGAGTTTTCGGCTGTCATGCTGAAACAGACCCATTGCACTGGGCTTCTAATTCAATTTAAATAGGAGGCCTTTGTTTCAGCCGCCAGCTCATCACGGTTCAGAGGGAGAATCTTAGTTGCTTGACACTAGCTGGTTGTTTGAAAGAATGGAAAGGCACATGCCAATACGAAAGGGTTGAGAGTTCAGCCAACAAAAGTGCAGTTCACAACCTCACTTAGACAGACGCAGCTTCGTTTGGTGGAGGAAAAACATGGATGCCCATCACCTGCCCAAGGCAGATCAGTGAGGTCTTGGTGTCCATGACTGCACATGTAATAGAGGTACAGTGCGTACAATTCATACATATACACACTTTTAGAATGGGGAAGATTTAAATTAATTTATTTATTTGTCGTGTCAGAGCAACTAGTCCATTATATTACATTTCTAACAGAACAAAGCAAACAAACAGACAAATGCAAAACTTGTGAGTTTGGTAGTTGGTTAAATGTCCTTTGACCAGTATCTGGCCACTTGGAGTGCCTCAGGTGTTGCTGCAAGGAGATCCTCCATTGTGCATGTAGCAGGGCTCAGGTTGCATTGCAGCAGGTGGTCAGTGGTTTGCTCTTCTCCACACTCGCATGTCGAGGATTCCACTTTGTAGCCCCATTTCTTAAGGTTGGCTCTGCATCTCGTGGTGCCAGAGCGCAGTCTGTTCAGTGCCTTCCAAGTCGCCCAGTCTTCCGTGTGCCCAGGAGGGAGTCTCTCATTTGGTATCAGCCATTGGTTGAGGTGCTGGGTTTGAGCCTGCCACTTTTGGACTCTCGCTTGCTGAGGTGTTCCAGTGAGTGTCTCTGTAGATCTTAGAAAACTATTTCTTGATTTAAGTCGTTGACGTGCTGGCTGATACCCAAACAGGGGATGAGCTGGAGATGTCTCTGCCTTGGTCCTTTCACTATTGGCTGCTACTTCCCGGCGGATGTCAGGTGGTGCAATACCGGCTAAGCAGTGTAATTTCTCCAGTGGTGTAGGGCGCAGACACCCGTGATAATGCGGCATGTCTCATTCAGAGCCACATCCACTGTTTTAGTGTGGTGAGATGTGTTCCACACTGGGCATGCATACTCATTCATTCATTCATTTAAATGAATTAGATGCCTTCACCAAATACTCCCTACAACACTACAGTGAATGCTTACAGCTCATGCAGATGAAGCCTTTGGTTTTGCTGGCATGTAGTACAAGGTTGGCATTTCGAATCTTGGGAGAGGGATGAGCTCCCTCTGTTAGCACCAGCTTCTGCCAACCTAGCAGTTTGAAAAAAAACTGGACACAGCATATTATTTGAGAACACAAAAATGCTGGACCATTCTAACAACTACCATGTCAGGCTACACAGAGAAGTCATTGAAATCCACAAGCATGCGGGCAATTTCAACAGAAAGGAGGAAACCATGAAAATAAACAAAATATGACTACCAGTATTTAAAAAAAACTCTAAAATTATAACAGTAAAAAGAACAAAACTCAAACACAGGGGAACTCCAGACAAGAAACAATCAGGAACACCTAATCACCTCTCAACAAAGGAATTTCCCAGTCAGTAACAGGGCACACCAAAAATCTGTCAGGCCATCAAATGCTAATCAAGATGGCCAATTGAAACAGTCACATGTAGCTCCAACAGACAAGTGTTCTTTCTCCCACCCTGGAACTTCCACAGATATATAAATCCAATTGTCCTACTTTCCAACAAACTTCACAACCTCTGAGGATGCTTGCCACAGATGCAGGCGAAATGTCAGGAGAGAATGCTTCTAGAACATGGCCATACAGCCCGAAAAACCTACAACAACCCTGTGAATAGATCAATCAGTAGGCAATGGCACTCCATGCAATCATGCCGGCCACATGATCTTGGAGGCATCTATGGACAACGTTGGCTCTTCAGTTTAAAGAAATGGAGATGAGCACCACTCCCAGAATCAGACATGACTAGGCTGAATGTCAAGGGGAAGCCCTTACCTTTGCTAGTACAAGCACATGGTGTTATTTTCATTGCTATAGTTCTGATTTTGCCATATTTTCTAGTATTTTAATTACAATACTGTAGTATGGTTTGGTAAAGGAGCAGGTCCATGGGGTGACAACATGAATAACTGCACCAGGTGACACCAACCTAAGTGGATTGATGTACTCAAGATGACTACATTTCTTTCCTTTTATTATATGTAGACACCAAATTGGGAGGGATAGCCAATAGTCCAGAGGACAGGAGCAGAATTCAAAACGATCTTGACAGATTAGAGAGATGGGCCAAAACTAACAAAATGAAGTTCAACAGTGACAAATGTAAGATACTCCACTTTGGCAGAAAAAATGAAATGCAAAGATACAGAATGGGTGACGCCTGGCTCGAGAGCAGTACGTGTGAAAAAGATCTTGGAGTCCTCGTGGACAACAAGTTAAACATGAGCCAACAATGTGATGTGGCGGCAAAAAAAGCCAATGGGATTTTGGCCTGCATCAATAGGAGCATAGTGTCTAGATCTAAGGAAGTAATGCTACCCCTCTATTCTGCTTTGGTTAGACCACATCTGGAATATTGTGTCCAATTCTGGGCACCACAATTCAAGAGAGATATTGACAAGCTGGAATGTGTCCAGAGGAGGGCGACTAAAATGATCAAGGGTCTGGAGAACAAGCCCTATGAGGAGCGGCCTAGGGAACTGGGCATGTTTAGCCTGAAGAAGAGAAGGCTGAGAGGAGATATGATAGCCATGTATAAATATGTGAGAGGAAGCCACAGGGAGGAGGGAGCAAGCTTGTTTTCTGCTTCCTTGGAGACTAGACGCGGAACAATGGCTTCAAACTACAAGAGAGGAGATTCCATCTGAACATTAGGAAGAACTTCCTGACTGTGAGAGCCGTTCAGCAGTGGAACTCTCTGCCCCGGAGTGTGGTGGAGGCTCCTTCTTTGGAAGCTTTTAAACAGAGGCTGGATGGCCATCTGTCAGGGGTGATTTGAATGCAATATTCCTGCTTCTTGGCAGAATGGGGTTGGACAGGATGGCCCATGAGGTCTCTTCCAACTCTTTGATTCTATGATTCTATGATTCTATGATTCTATGTATTTAGAGGTAGAGACATGAGGTTGTTTTCTGGCTACAAAGAGTTTTAGATGAAAAAAGTCTTGGTAGCTATAACTCAACTGCACACATCTATCTCCAAAGTCAATGCCTGTAATAAACACATTTCCTACTACTTCAGACAGCCTTCCATGCATGTTGAAAATAAGGAGAGTCTCACTTCCCCTTAAAATTGCTCATCAATGAATCTAGCGTTTTGAAAGCATGGACTTCTGAAGTGCCCCCCCCCCCCCCCCCGCATCCACGCAATCCAAAAATCTTCAGTGGCCTGGCCTTGTTCTACTAAAGCTATGAAGACAGTTCTGCATGATCATAGATGTTCAACAAATAATTCAAATTATCCCGTAGACAATGACATAGAAGCTAATACTACTCAGCTTTCATATTTTCCTTTCCAATGCTTGTTCCACAGCTTTTCCAGTCTGTCCCAGTAGGAGTTGGACAAGTGTATGGTTGCGATAATCCTTGGACTGGAGGCATTATCATGGTGGCACTCTTTGTTTCCTCCCCTCTAATCTTCGCCCATGCCGTGATCGGCTCAGCATTGGGGGTGCCTGCAGGTATGAAACATGTCCATGATCAGTGTTTCTCAACCTAGGGGTCAGAACACCTGGGGGGGTCGCGAGGAGGTGTCAGAGAGGTCACCAAAGACCATAGGAAAACAGTATTTTCTGTTGGTCATGAGAGTTCTGTCTGGGAAGCTTGGCTCAATTCTATTGTTGGTGGGGTTCAGAATGCTCTTTGATTGTAGGTGAGCTATAAATCCCAGCAATTACAACTCCCAAATGTCAAAGTCTATTTTTTCCCAAAATCCACCAGTATTCACATTTGGGCATATTGAGTACCCATGCCAAGTTTAGTCCAGATCCATCATTGTTTGAGTCCACAGTGTTTTCTAGATGTAGATGAACTACAACTCCCAAACTCAAGGTCAATGCCCACCAAACCCTTCCAGTATTTTCTGTTGGTCATGGCAGTTCTGTGCACCAAGTTTAGTTGAATTCCATTGTTGGTGAAGTTCAGAATGCTCTTTGATTGTAGGTGAACTATAAATCCCAGCAACTACAACTCCCAGATGACAAAATCAACCCCCCTCCCAAACCAAATTTGGGTGTATTAGGTATTTGTGCCAAATTTGGTCCAGTGAATACGTCCTCCATATCAGATATTTACATTACAATTCATAACAGTAGCAAAATTACAGTTATGAAGTAGCAGATGGCCATCTGTCAGGGGTGATTTGAATGCAATATTCCTGCTTCTTGGCAGGGGGTTGGACTGGATGGCCCATGAGGTCTCTTGCAACTCTTTGATTCTATGATTCTACGAAAATAATATTATGGTTGGGGGTCACCACAACGTGAGGAACTGTTTTGAGGGGTTGTGGCATTAGGAAGATTGAGAACTATTGCCCTAGATCAATATTATCCCAATATTGGGTGTCATGGAATCTATGGTCTAGAAAACCAACCAAGACACTGAGTTTATTATCTGTCAAAGTTCCCAGTCAAAGTTTCTGTGTTAACCAGAACTAGATTTTGAAAGAAAAAACACAACATTTATAACAGTAGTTGATTTCTATGGGTCTTTGAACCATAACTATGACAAATTATTATTTTCATACTGTCCAATTCCTGATTCTTGTGCTCCATATTCCTTCAAGAAGTCAAGGAATATGTAAATATTGTAATATTGTATTGTCGAAGGCTTTCATGGCTGGAATCACTCAGTTCATGTGGGTTTTTTTGGGCTATATGGCCATGTTCTAGAGGCATTTCTCCTGACGTTTTGCCTGCATCTATGGCAAGCATCCTCAGAGGTGACCTCACAACCTCTGAGGATGCTTGCCATAGATGCAGGTGAAACGTCAGGAGAAATGCCTCTAGAACATGGCCATATAGCCCAAAAAAACCCACAAGAACTGAGTATTGTAATATTGTATTTGCCTTCTGCAGTTGCTTTTTTATTTTGATTGCATTTTATCAAATATGGTGACGTCCATATTCAGTCCAAGTTGGCAGAATTATCTTTATAGACTCCATTTGACATGTGGGTATCTTTGCTCACTGTAAAAGCAGGTACATATGTTGCCTTACACATTGCAATCATATATGTTATTTCTGTTTACACATTCAGTTGCACAGTGCAACAGGGAGGAGGGAGCAAGCTTGTTTTCTGCTTCCCTGGAGACTAGGACGCAATGGAACAATGGCTTCAAACTACAAGAAAGGAGATTCCATCTGAACATGAGGAAGAACTTCCTGACTGTGAGAGCCGTTCAGCAGTGGAACTCTCTGCCCCGGAGTGTGGTGGAGGCTCCTTCTTTGGAAGCTTTTAAACAGAGGCTGGATGGCCATCTGTCAGGGGTGATTTGAATGCAATATTCCTGCTTCTTGGCAGGGGGTTGGACTGGATGGCCCATGAGGTCTCTTCCAACTCTTTGATTCTATGATTCTATGATTCTAGTGCTACAATTCACCAATACCCTTGACGTAGGATCATGGCACCTATTTGAAATAATAGAAACTAGTGTTTTTAATGTAGCGTTCTATGTAGATTGCTAGCCACCTTGGGTACCTATGAGGAAAGGTGGGCGAGAAATCATATGAATCTAATCTAGCTCAGATTTCAAGCATAGAGGAATGTCTACAGAGCTGATAACCCTTTTTCATTTCTATTTCATTACAGTTAAGAATGAGCCTAACACTGAAATATCTTTCTATTATCTGTCTTCTTTGCAGCCTTGAGTCTGGGTTCTACTTTTAGTAGAATTTATGCCGGTTTGTGGAATTACAACAGCTGCCTTTCATGCATCGCCATCGGAGGGATGTTCTATGCCCTCACCTGGCAGACATTTTTATTGGCAATTGCCTGTGGTAGGTGCCTGCATTCATTGTTTTCATTTGCAACATAGGATGCTGACTTAGTTATTTGTTTACACATTTCTTTATGTACTGAAATAGTAATATCCAGCTCTACAGCTGAGGAACGGCACTGTCGAATTAATTCATCTTGATACCACTTTAACTGAAAATGTGCTGGTGCGGCAGTACCAACTCCAACTTCCTTTTCTTTCTTTGAGTGTTTGCATGTATTCCAAAGTTCCATGCATTTTGCAATAAGGTGGCTTCTTTGGTTTGCAGTCATGGGGTTAGCCACCTGTCTATCATCGTTAAGTTTTACTTCCGCCCTTTTTTCCAGGTTCAGGAAGGGAAAGGGAGCCATTTTAGTTCAGTCTTATAGTTGAAAGCTTAGTTACAGGCCTCAGTTTATCATTTTTAAATGTCCTTGTCTTTGAAGAAAGAAGGAAGGAAGGACATGTCTCAAATGGGGGTGCGACTATTATGTGAGGAAACAAAAAAAACCTAATTTTGGCACGCCAAAAAATGAAATTGCAACTATGATGGGGTGATGACTGTTATGCCAAGTTTTAACTTTGTTTGTGTTTTTAAATACATGGTGAATAAATCACTGGAGGCACAGAACTTAGCATGAATCATGTCATTTCAACCCTATAGGATGTCTTCTTAGGTCCCATTAGAATCATAGAATCAAAGAGTTGGAAGAGACCTCATGGGCCATCCAGTCCAACCCCATTCTGCCAAGAAGCAGGAATATTGCATTTAAATCACCCCTGACAGATGGCCATCCAGCCTCTGTTTAAAAGCTTCCACCACACTCCGGGGCAGAGAGTTCCACGGCTGAACGGCTCTCACAGTCAGGAAGTTCTTCCTCATGTTCAGATTTCCGAGTCTTCGTTATATGCATAATATCTTCTCTACTGAAATCAAGTAGACTTTTAAAGTGTCGAATAGATCTGTATTATTCAAAACTGATGATTGACCAATTGTTTTGTTTTTTTCATCACTGGGCCTTTTTCTTCTTAAAAGCAAAACAAAAATAACTCCTTTTCCTTCCTATCCAGCCTTTACTCTGGTATCTGCCACAATATATAACAGTAATTGGATTTTTCTGTTCATCTTTCTGCAGGTCTTTTTACAGCATATGCAGGAGAAACCCTGGCGAATATGTTTTCCGTGGTAGGTTTTGTTGGTTTAGAAGCAAGGAGCAAAAACATGTTTTCTTATTGCTACATTTATCATCTTCTTAAGACTACTACGAGGGAAAATAGAAATGGGATGACTATATTCAAAAGACGGTGGGGGAGAGGGAGCAGTGATGTTTATCATAGCTCCTGAATCTTAAAAGAAAGTCAAACAAGAATGAAGGATGCATTACAAAGTAGACAGACACAACCATCTATATTCCCATATAATACAGTTTCAAACTGCATTATATGATCAGTGCAAACTCATATGATGCAGTTCAGTGCTGTTAAATTGCATTATATGAGTCTACTCCAGGCATGGACAAACTTTGGCCCTCCAGGTGTTTTGGACTTCAAATCCCACAATTCCTAACCGCTGGTAGGCTCTTAGGATTTGCATGAGTTGAAGTCCAAAACACCTTGAGGGCTGAATTTGCCAATGCCTAGTCTACACTGACCATATAATGCAGTTTCAAACCATGTAGATGGAGTCATTGTCTCATTGTCCATTAGCTGCTCTGAGTCCCCCCTCAGGGGTTGAGAAGGACAGAGTAGAAATGTTGTAAATAAATAAAATAATTCTACAATGTAAATGCCCCTTCAGTCTATGAAAACTTATGCTGGAACCCTCCTTTCATCCCTACTAATCTCACAAGCTCGTCTTGTGTGCACAAGGGAGAGAGCCTTCTCCTCTGTGGCTCCCCGACTTTGGAACTCATTACTGGAGAGATCAGGAAAGCCGCTTCTCTAGAAACATTCAAAAAGAACCTTAAAATCTGGCTCTTCCACTGTGCCTTTGGCGAGTAGCTGCACAATATGACACCATTGCACCCCTCAACACTCTTCCCACTGGAATACACGCCCTCCAACTGGGAAGTTTAGCTTCATAACTGTGTTTTTATGATTTCCCTGCAGATAACTTGCTCCTATTTTTATCTCATTAGAGTCTTTGAATCGTTTTTATCCTGTACATGTGGCCTGCCCATTGTTATTGTGATTGTGCTTATTGAAATGTTATTTTATGACTGTGTTTATATTTTTTGATGAAATTTGATGATGTTGTTTATTTTTTATCCTCTGGTTTTATTTTGTTGTAATTTGTTGTCCGGACTTGGCCCCATGTAAGCCGCTCCTAGTCCACATTGGGGAGATGGTGGCGGGGTATAAATAAAGATTATTTATTTATTTATTTATTTATTTATCTTATGCTGGATCTACACTACCATATATTGCAGTGTTAACTTTAAATAGATCAGTGTAGTACATTCTATGGGTCAGTGTAGTGCATTATATAAGTCATTGTAGATCTATACAATGGAGTTCAGTGTTTTTTGAACTGTATTATAGGGATCTACAGCCTCAGTGGTGCAGTGGGTTAAACTGCTGAATTGCTGAACTTGCTGACCAAAAGGTCAGCAGTTTGAATCCAGGGAGCAGAGTGAGCTCCCACTTTTAGACACAGCTTCCACCAACCTAGCAGTTCAAAAACATGCAAATGAGAGTAGATCAATAGGTACCGCTCTGGTGGGAAAGTAACAGTGCTCCATGGCCACATGACCTTGGAGGTGTCTATGGACAATGCCAACTCTTCAGCTTAGAAATGGAGATGAACACCAACTCCCAGAATCGGTCACGACTGGACTTAGTGTCAGGGGAAAACCTTTACCTTTTACACTGACCATATAATGCAGTTCCAACTACATTATTATGCAGTATAGATCCAACTCCAGTTATTGTCAAAGATCCCGGAATGAAAGAAAAAGAGACTAGTTAGCAGTACTGTTATGCAGATAGAGGGGATTTTCTCTTTCTTATTCTTGCACTCTACTTGATATCTCTCTGCCTTTGAACAGCATCCTAAATTGCTGCCCTGTTTTCTCCCCTTTCAGTTTGGAATGCCACTGGGGACCTGGCCCTTCTGTTTGTCTTCACTCACGTTCCTGCTTCTAACCACCACAAGTGATGCCATCTACAGATTGCCACTCTCCAAAGTCACCTACCCAGAAGCCAACCGGGCCTATTACTTGACGCGAAAGGAGCAATGTCCCAAATCCACCTGTGATGTGTAAGAGACTGGATCCCAGACTTTGATTTCCTCATCGCTGCTAGAAATCCAGTGGCTGTATTTCCCAAGCAGGAAAAGAAGCAGCGCAGCATCGAATCAAGCCAGACAGTTTTCAAGTATTCTTTGTGGGGAGCTCATTTAAAGCTGTAAATAGTATTTTCACTAGAGTCAGAAAGGTTTGAAACTTAGTGCATGCTTCAGTCAGAAGTGAAGAGACCATACAATTCAGTTGGAAAGACTCACAGCATTTTTAGAGCAAATGAGGGTTTAGATGCTCAACTGGAGAGGCATATTGGCAGGATCTGGTCCCTGAAGTGACTCAACCCTGGACACTGATTTTAAATCACATGGTGCCTACAGCATTTCAGCCTATATGAAGTTTTTAAATATATATATAGACTTGGAATCAGAAAGGAAATGCTAAGGATATTGTTTCACGCAGCTTGTAGCAGCGACTTGAAGCTCCACAGCCGCAAATGGAAGCACTTGATCACCATATGATGTCATTATGAAGTCCTTCCAAATTAATCTTCAACTCATGACAAAGGAATTTTTTGTTCAAAAATGAAGAAATACCATTTTTAAGCAGCGGAAAGATCTTTGAATCTGTGTTCATAGTGTTTTCAGGAGCTGCAATAATCCAAAAGCGCTTCTGCAGTGACTTTGCGGTGAGTGATGTGCGATTGTGGATTTGTTGGGGGCATCGTTTTGATCTACTTTACTTCTCCATATCCAAAGTGCTAGTCATTGAAGTGAGCACGGGACCTCTGGCTCCAAAGCCATAACACCCTTCTTCACATTGTATATTGACTGTTTTTTAATGCACAGATGTGTACATTTTCACTGCTAATTCCAGGCACTGATAGGGATTTTCCTACTTAACTAAGCAGATATATACTGTTTGTTTATTTGTTTGCCTTTCTTTGTTCTGTTGCAAATATTCCAGCAGATTGTGTTGCACTCCAGGTCAGGAAACACCTCTAGAATCATAGAATCAAAGAGTTGGAAGAGACCTCATGGGCCATCCAGTCCAACCCCCTGCCAAGAAGCAGGAATATTGCATTCAAATCACCCCTGACAGATGGCCATCCAGCCCCTGTTTAAAAGCTTCCAAAGAAGGAGCCTCCACCACACTCCGAGGCAGAGAGTTCCACTGCTGAACGGCTCTCACAGTTAGGAAGTTCTTCCTCATGTTCAGATGGAATCTCCTTTCTTGTTGTTTGAAGCTATTGTTCCGCATCCTAGTCTCCAAGGAAGCAGAAAACAAGCTTGCTCCCTCCTCCCTGTGGCTTCCTCTCACATATTTATACATGGCTATCATATCCCCTCTCAGCCTTCTCTTCTTCAGGCTAAACATGCCCAGCTCCTTAAACTGCTCCTCATAGGGCTTGTTCTCCAGACCCTTTATCATTTTAGTCGTACTTGTACTTAACCACCATACTCCAGTCCAAGTTAAATCAGCAAAGCAGTTTATTAAAGATTATATAATAAGCACTGTAGCAAAAATAGTAGGAACTTCAAAATCTATACATATAAAATCATCCACGAGGTTCAAGGTACAACAGTAATCCAAAATCCCAAAGTAACATCCAGCACAAGAATACAAAGAAACCAGGGAGTACAAGACAGCATAGAATCCAGTGCAAAAATCCAGGAACAATCCTTCAAACCTAGAAGCATGAAACAGGGAGCAAAGACATAGAACTAGAATTCCCTCAGAAATCTTGACTAGGACTCGGCAAGTGTTGTTGCTTCAATTACCAATGTTGACCAGACTGGTTGGAAAATCCCCCTGGCTTCTCTAATATACACATGAAATCATGTCTTCTCTCATGACTTCCTGATACTGGTGTCTTTTCCATCTGAACATTAGGAAGAACTTCCTGAGTGTGAGAGCCGTTCAGCAGTGAAACTCTCTGCCCCAGAATGTGGTGTCGGCTCCTTCTTTGGAAGCTTTTAAACAGAGGCTGGATGGCCATCTGTCAGGGGTGCTTTGAATGCAATATTTCTGCTTCTAGGCAGGGGGTTGGACTGGATGGCCCATGAGGTCTCTTCCAATTCTTTGATTCTATGATTCTAAGCACTGTGACCTTTGGAGATTCTGTTGAGCAGCACCAAGTTTACGAAAACTGATGCTCCTATCAACCCGCTCATTATCTCGCAACTCATTATTCTCTCCACCTGAGATTTCAGCCTCTGAAATCATTTCCCCAGAGAACGACTCTTCTGCACCATCTTGAAGTCCCTCTGGAAACTGACCTTCACTAACTGCTGGAGACACAGACTGATCATTTTCAGGGCTTAAAATCTCATGTTGGCTTGCAAGCCCAGAGTTCCCATAATCCACTTCCCCATTTACATCGATATCAGCCACAACCATGAACTATAACAGATTGCAAGCTTGCTCATGCAAACTTCTTTTAACTTGTGCATGTTTGGCAATGAAAAGTAGACTTGCAAAATGTGCAAAACGGGGGAAATAGTCTTTCCTTTTAAAAAATTAATATCTAAAGCGTTTAAAGGGACAGAATGTGGGAATTTGCAGAAGTCATTGAACTCATGGAGTTGTACAATTATTCCAAAGGAGGATTTTAGAAAGGGCATGGACAAAGAAGGGCAATGCATAGATTGGAAAGAAACAAGTCCCAATAACTGTGATAACCTAAAAGTGCTTTCAGAATTTTTCAAATGCTTGCAGAATGAATTGGGATGAGAAGAAGAGTGTCTGTCCTGGCATTCCACAGCTCAAAGCAAAATAGTTTTACAATGCCAGGGCCCATTTCTAGAGATAAGGGCATCAATACTGCATTCAGTGTAATGAGTTATACTGAGATAGGAGGCTCCCAAGGAAGGCAATGGCCAATCACTTCTGAGTATTACTTGATTTAAAAAATCCTATAAAATGCATGGGGATCCACTCTGGTGCGCGCTACAATGAGACTTTGGGCCATCTACACTGCCATATAATGCAGTTTCAGAATTTCATATTAACTACATTGAACTTGATTATATGGCAGTATGCATCAGTTACTTTAGATACCACTCTTCCTGTGCTGCTTCCCCCTCGGTCTGCAGAGGTTTAAAAAAAGGGCTTAAGAGCAAATAGCACGCGCCGTGTGAGGAGCACTGCATGCTCCTGAAAAGCAGAGGAGGAGCCGGGATCGGTTCCCACTTGCTTTCATGTCGGTGGGTTTTCGTATTGGAAGGGCCCATCCTGTTATGTCAGTGGTTCTCAACCTTCCTAATGCTGTGACCCCTTAACACAGGTCCTCATGTTGTGGTGACCCCCAGCGATAAAATTATTTTGTTGCTACTTCATAACTGTAATTTTGCTACTGTTGTGGTTCATAATGTAAATATTTGATATGCAGGATGCATTTTCATTCGCTGGACCAAATTGGCACAAATACCTAATACGCCCAAATTTGAATACTGGTGGGGTTGTGGGGAGGGGTTGATTTTGTCATTTGGGAACGGTGGTTGCTGGGATTTATAGTTCATCTACAATCAAAGAGCATTCTGAACTCCACCAATGATGGAATTGAACCAAACTTCCCACACAGGACCCCCATGACCAACAGAAAAGACAGGCTGGGTTTGGTGGGCATTGACCTTGAGTTTTGGAGTTGTAGTTCACCTACATCCAGGGAGCACTGTGGACTCAAACAATGATGGATCTAGACCTAATGTGGCACGAATACTCAATATGCCCAAATATGAACACAGATGGAGTTTGGGGAAAATAGACCTTGACATTTGGACGTTGCAGTTGCTTGGATTTATAGTTCACCTACAATCAAAGAGCATTCTGAACCCCACCAATGATAGAATTGGGACAAACTTCCCACAAAGAACCCCCATGACCAACAGAAAATACTGTGTTTTCTGGTGGTCTTTGGTGACCTCTCTGACACCCCTCTCATGACCCCCTCAGTGGTCCCGATCCCCAGGTTGAGAAACATTGTGTTATGTGCGTTCGAGGGTACCGAAGGTACCGAAAGAAAACAGACCTACACACAAGTCTAACAAGCACCCATGAAGATTGGCAGATGCTAGTAGTTTCTGCTAGGGCTGTGCGATTTCGTTCGTTAATTCGTTAATCCGTTAATAATTCGGGTTTTTTTGCATTTTTGAAGCAATATCAAAACACATTTTCAAACTCGGAAGGGTTTAAAAATATCGAACCGGCAACCCCCATAGATTTAACGAGCTTCCGCTCGTTTCGTTAATGGGATGGAGGCTGCTGGAGTGCTGTTAGGCCTGCCTGGCATTCCCCTCTTTCCCGGCCTGGGCTGCTCTCCCCGTCCTCTTTCCCCTCTCCCCGTTTTCCAACACTCCTCCTCCTCCACATGCGGCTGCATACAGTGATATAGCGCTGCATCAGGGGCGGCTGAAGCAACTTACGTGCTGCCAAATCCCTGGCTGTGGGCTGCTTGCTTGCTCGCTTCTCCAAGCGGGCGAAAGGAGAGGGAGAGAGAAAAACAGTGTGTGCTGTCTCTTTAAGGCAGGAGCACATCTCGGGAGAAAGAATCCTCCAGCCCCGGCCCTCGGCTGCCGCGTTTGGCGGAGGGAGGGAGGCAGGCGCGCGCTTGGTTGCTCTTTTTTTCTCCTCAGCTAAACCGGTAAACCCCTCTGTTCCAGGAGCATTCTCTCCTGACGTTTCTCTCATATCTTATAGCAGGCATCCTCAGAGGTTTGTTGGAAACTAGGCAAGTAGGGTTTATATCCCTGTGAAATAACGTCCAGGGTGGGAGAAAGAACCTTGTCTGTTGGAGGCAATTGTGAATGCTGCCATTGGCCACCTTGATTAGCATTGAATGGCCTCGCAGCTTCAAAGCCTGGCGTGTAGAAGGTCCAGGGTGGGAGAAAGAACTCTTGTCTGTTGGAGGCAAGTGTGAATGTTGCCATTGGACAGCTTGATTGGGATTAAATGGCCTTGTAGCTTCAAAGTCTGGCTCCTTCCTGCTCAGGGGAATCCTTTGTTGGGAGGTGTTAGCTGGGTCTGACTCAAACCCGCTATGTCTGTATAGTAGGCCTGTGCGGTTTCGTTTTCCATTTTAAAATATTTTTTAATATTATTTTTTAATATTATTTTTTAATATTATTTTAATATTATTCTTAAAAAATATTCTAAAAAAGAAAAGACTCTTCTGTTGGTGTGTGCTCTCATTTTCTGTCTCCTGTCTGTGTTTGGTCCACATTTGGGCCATTTTTTGGTTAATTTTCCATTTTAAAATATTTTTAATATTATTTTAATATTATTTTTTAATATTATTTTAATATTATTCTTAAAAAATATTCTAAAAAAGAAAAGACTCTTCTGTTGGTGTGTGCTCTCATTTGCTGTATCCTGCCTGTGTTTGGTCCACATTTGGGCCATTTTTTGGTTAATTTTCCATTTTAAAATATTTTTAATATTATTTTAATATTATTTTTAATATTATTTTAATATTATTCTTAAAAATATTCTAAAAAAGAAAAGACTCTTCTGTTGGTGTTTGCTCTCATTTGCTGTCTCCTGCCTGTGTTTGGTCCACATTTGGGCCATTTTTTTGTTAATTTTCCATTT